TTTTTTTTTTTTTTTAAGCAGGGATATAATCGTTCTGTAACGTTTCATTACATGTATAGAGTCATGTAACCACCATTACAATCAGGATACAGAACTGGTTTTTTGTTTGTTTGTTTGTTTGTTTGTTTTTGAGATGAAGTTTTGCTCTTGTTGCCCAGACTGGAGTGCAATGGCGTGATCTCGGCTCGCTGCAACCTCCGCCTCCCAGGTTCAAGCGATTCTCCTGCCTCAGCCTCCCGAGTAGCTGGGATTTCTAGTAGAGACGGGTTCACTCCAAGTTGGTCAGGCTGGTCTCGAACTCCTGATCTCAGGTGATCCGCCTGCCTCCATGTCCGAACATGCTGGGATTACAGGTGTGAGCCACCGTGCCCGGCCAGGATACAGAAATGTTTTATCATTCCCAAAGAAACTCTCACGCTACATCTTTATGCTTACATCTTCCCCATAACCCTAGCCCCTGGCAACTACTGATCAGTTTTCCATTGTCATAATTTGTTGTTTTTTAAAAAACAGACTTTTAAGAGCAGTTTTAGGTTAACAGCAAAATTGAGCAGAAAATACGGAGGGTGCCCATATTTCCTCTGTCCCTCCCATGGGAACAGCCTTCCCCACTATCAGTATCTCGTGCCAGAGTGGTATGTTTGTTACAGCTTATGAACGTGCATTTGGTACATCATTAACACACAAAGGCTATAGTTTACATTAGGATTCATTCTTGGTGGTGTATGTTCTGTAGGTTTGGACAAATGTATAATGGCAGGTGTCTACCATTCGAGAATTGTACAGAGTAGTTTCACTTCCAAGAAATTCTCTATGCCCTTTCTATCCTTCCTCCCTCCCCACTAACTTCTGGCAACCACTGATCTTTTTCTGTCTCCATAGTTTTGCCTTTTCTAGGAAGTCATGTAGTCGGAAACATAAAATATGTAACTTTTTCATTTTGACTTTTAATAATATGCATTTTTCTCCTTGTTTTTTCATGGTTTGATAGCTTATTTTTTATTTACTTTTTTTGAGACGGAGTCTCACCCTCTCCCCCAGGCTGGAGTGCAGTGGCGCAATCTCAGCTCACTGCATCCTCTGGCCCCCAGGTTCAAGCGATTCTCCTGCCTCAGCCTCCTGAGTAGCTGGGATTACAGGCACCTGCCACTGCGCCCTGCTAATTTTTGTATTTTTAGTAGAGATGGGGTTTCACCATCTTGGCCAGGCTTGTCTTGAACTCCTGACCTCATGATCCGCCCACCTCGGCTTCCCAAAGTGCTGAGATTACAGGCGTGAGTCACCATGCCCGGCTTTTTTTTTTTTAAATGCTGAATAACATTTATTTATCCAGTCATCTACTGAAGGACTTCCAAGTTTTGGCAATTATGAGTAAAGCTGCTATAAACATCCATGTGCAGATTTTTGTGTTAATATGTTTTCTCTTTCTTTGGGTAAATGCTAAGTAGTGTGATTACTGGATTGTATGGTAAAGTGTGTTTAGTTGTAAGAAACTATTAAACTGTTCCAAAATGGATGTATCATTTTGTATTCTCACCCTTGGTGAATGAGAGTTCCTGTTACTGCACATCCTCACCAGCACTGGGTGCGGTCAGTGTTCTGGATGTTGGCCATTCTAATAGGTGTGTAGTGGTATCTCATTTTAATTTGCATTTCCCTAATGAAATGTGGAAATCTTTTCGTGTGCTCATTTGTCATCTGTATACTTCTGGTGAAGTGTCTGTTTCAGGTATTTGACTCATTTTTCAATTGGGTTGTTTTCTTGCTGTTGAATTTTAAGAGTTCTTTATATGTTTTGGATAATAGTTCTTTATCAAATCTAGTTTTTACAGATATTTTCTCCCCATCCGTGGCTTGTCTTTTCATTTTCTTCCTTTTTTTTTTTTTTTTTTGAGGCAGAGTCTTGCTCCATTGCCCAGGCTGGAGTGCAGTGGCATGGTCATAGCTCACTGCATCCTTGAGCTCCTGGGCTCAAGAAATCTTCCCGCCTCAGCCTTCTAAGTGGCTGGGACTACAGGCATGTGCCACAATGCCCGACTTTGTGTGTGTGTGTGTGTGGAAATAGGGTCTTGCCATGTTGCTGAGGCTGGTCTCAAACTCCTGGCCTCAAGTGATCCTCCCGCCTTAGCCTCCCAAAGTGCTGGGATTACAGGCATGAGCCACTGCATCTGGCTTCATTTTCTTGACAGTGGCTTTTACAGAGCAGAAGTGTTTAATTTTAATGAAATCTAGCTTATCAGTTATTTCATGGATCGTGTCTTTGGAATTGTATCTAAAAAGTCATCAAACTCAAGATCGTCTAGATTTTCTTCTTTGTTATCCTCTAAGAGTTTTATATACAATTTTGAGTTTTACATTTAGGTCTGTGATCCATTTTGAGTTAATTTTTGTGAAGACTGTAAGGTCTTTATTTTATTGTGTCTAGATTCATTTTCTTGCATATAAGTGTCCAGTTATGGCATGTCTTGTTGAAAACACTATCTTTTCTTTATTACATTGCTTTTGCTTCTTTGTCAAAAATCAGTTGAGTGTATTTCTGGGCTTTGTATTCTGTTCCATTGATCTGTTTGTTCTTTTACCAATACCACACTGTCTGGATTACTATAGCTTTGTGTAAATCTTGAAGTTGGTTATTGTGGGCCCTCCAACTTTGTCCTTCTCTTTCAATATTGAGTTCACTATTCTGGGTCTTTTGCCTCTTTGTGTAAGCTTTAGAATTGGGTTGTCAATATCCACAAAATACTTTGCTGGGATTTTGATTGGGATTGTGTGAAATCTATAGATTAAGTTGGGAAGAACTGACGTCTTTACCATATTGAGTCTTCCAATTCATGAACATAGAATATCTCTCTGTTTAGTTCTTTGATATCATTCATCAGAATTTTGTAATTTTCCTCATTTAAATATTGTATGTATTTTGGTAGATTTATACCTAAGTATTTTCACTTTGGGGCTGCTAATGTAAATGGTATCATGTTTTAAATTTCAAGTTAATGCCAAGCCCTAACCCTTGGCAATCACTGATCTGTTTTCCATTATTATAATTTTGTCATTTTGAAAATGGTATAGAAATGGAAGCATATAGTATGTAGACTTTTTGGATTGGTTTCTCTCAGCTTGGTTTATGATGATTTTAATGTTGTATCAATAGAGCAAGCAAAGTCTTAGAGACAAAGTATCATCCTGCATGGGGAAAACTTCTCATTCTGTTAGAGGAAACTGGGGAGCAGATACCCAGAAAGCTTTGAGAACTACTGGTATATTGATTTAGAAAATTGTTTTATGTATGGCAATGAAATTTGCTTAAGGGTAGTATGTCTCTTTAGGGCATGATTGATGATGTGGGATGTATGAATTCTAAATTTTTGTCTGCCATTTAGTTTAGATTACTTATCTATTGAATATTTCCCAGGCACGGGGAGTTAGCACATGCTGAACAGGATTGGAGATCTAATTACAAATGGTAGTAAACCAAAGTGCAAAATAACAACGTAAAAATGTCACTTGAAAAGGCTGCACATGGTTGAGCTGCTACTAATCCTGATGTTTTTGTCTTGGGGTGTGGTGTGATCTAGATTGTCAGAAGCTTCAGTTCTGGTAAAAGAGAAGGTGGGGACTTTGTTTGCTGTGCCCTCTCTCCCCGTGGTGAATGGATCTACTGTGTAGGGGAGGACTTTGTGCTCTACTGTTTCAGTACGGTCACTGGCAAACTGGAGAGAACTTTGACAGTGAGTATTACTTACTAAGTTCATCTAAAGAAATATGGTAAGACTTGCGTCTTTCTGAACTCTGAAGTATGTGCCTTTTCCAGACTACTATCAATGTGACCCTCAGTATAAAAAACATTGTTTTAAAACATTTAGCGCCATGTTAAATTCAAGAAGTAAAATTAATGTCAGCTGCTATGATGATCCCCAAATCTCAGTGGCTTAACACTAAACAAGTTTATTTATTTTTTATTTTATTTTATTTTATTTTATTTTAAGAAGGAGTCTCACTCTGTCACCTGGGCTGGAATGCAGTGGTGTGATCTCAGCTCACTACAACCTCTGCCTCCTGGAGTCAAGTGATTCTCCTGCCTCAGCCTCCCGAGTAACTGGGACTACAGGCACATGCCACCACTTCTGGCTAATTTTTTGTATCTTTAGTGGAAACGGGGTTTCACCATCTTGGCCAGGCTGGTCTTGAACTCCTGATCTCAAGTGATCCACCTGCCTCCGCCTCCCAAAGTACTGGGATTACAGACATGAGCCACTGCACCCAGCCTAAAGTTTATTTCTTATTATGTCACAATGTGATGTGAGTTGGAAAACCTTCCTCCATCTTTCTCCTATGCCATTTGGAATATCAGGCCTTGATCTCTTTCCCTTCCACCCAGCTCTGGAAGCGTCATCAGAGTGATTTATTGCAGATCTGTACACCCTAACCCTGTGCTTTACGTGTTCCAGGTGCACGAGAAGGATGTGATTGGTATTGCACATCACCCTCATCAGAACCTGATTGCTACCTATAGTGAAGATGGACTCCTAAAGCTCTGGAAACCATAATTCAACTTTCCTTTTTAAATCAGTGAAAGGACATACTTAAATGAAGGCATATTCATGTAATGTGCTTTTTTTTCCTTTCTTTTTTTTTTTGGCCCACTTTTCTAAGCAAATAGATTGTCTGAATTAGTCACAAGAATAATTTTGTGAAAATTCATGCTTAAGTAGCAAGTATCCCTTCCTTTTTTTTAATATATTTTTAAGGTATTAGTTTATCTTCTAACTGGTGCAGTCACTTAATGTTTTCATTAATCTTATACCTGGAGAGTGAAATACCAATATTTCTAGAAAAAAATTCTACTCCTTTGATTATTTGAAATGCTGATTAAAATGTCCCTCCTATAGTAAAACTTGTAAATAAGGAACTATATCATATTCAGTAGCTGTATTCTGTTCCATCTTTTTTTTTTTTTGAGATGGAGTTTTGCTTGTTGCCCAGGCTGGAGTGCAGCGGCACGATCTTGGTTCACTGCAACCTCCGCCTCCCAGGTTCAAGCGATTCTCCTGCCTCAGCCTCCTGAGTAGCTGGGACTATAGGTGTGTGATACCATGCCTGGCTAATTTTTTTGTATTTTTAGTGAGATGGGATTTCACCGTGTTGGCCAGGCTGGTCTCACACTCCTGACCTTAAGTGATCCAACCGCCTTGGCCTCCCAAAGTGCTGAGATCACAGGCATGAGCCACCATGCCCAGCCCATCTTTTTTTTTTTTGAAGATGTTAATAAACTTTATACCTTTCTGGAGACTTTGTTCTAAAATGTAAATAAATGCTCATCTAGTTAACATATTTACTTAGAATTTGGGAGGAGTGACATTATTATCCCCGAATCTCAAGTATAGCAGAAGTGAATTCCTGGGATAGTAGGATAGACTAACATGTAAAAAGGCCAGGGATGCATAGGTTCTCATTTCACTGCCCTCAGCTTTCCTCTCCTTCTGAGCTGTGCCTTCTCACATGTTCAATCAACTCCAGGGAATATTGTCTCCATCTTCTGAATAGAACTAGTTGCAGGATCCGTTACAAGAATTCAGAGTTTTGTCATCTCCCCTTTGTACGTTGTAGGGGATGGTTTGGCATTGGAAATGTGCTGTTGTTTCAAAGAAAAGTTAGCAAAAGGACTTGAGATTTAGAAAAGTCTCCTTTGTAATGTGCATCATTACCAGTTAGCTAAAGAAAAACATGTAAAAGTCAACAAAACCCTTGAAAATATTTTGCATATGGATGTCTGTTTCATGTTTCAACTAAAGATGTATAGAGCACCTCTGATGATGAGGAAGATACTGTGCTAGGCACTACTTTCAAGAATGTGAGTTCTTGTTTCCACAGGCCTTTTGTGCCCCCTTTTAAATGTTAGCATTTATTAGGTACAAACTAGTGGGGAAGGTTTTTTTAAAGTTTTGCAGTCTTGTAATTTACTTTTTTAAAAATTTATTTTATTTTTTTGAGATGGAGTCTTGCTCTGTTGCCCAGGTTGGAGTGCAATGGTGCCCTCTCAGCTCACTGCAACCTCCACTTCCCAGGTTCAAGCGATTCTTGATACTTCCCGAGTAGCTGGGAATACAGGCACATGCCACCATGCCTGGCTAATTTTTATATTTTTAGTTGGGGAGGGAGTTTCACCATGTTGGTCAGGCTGGTCTTGAACTCCTGACCTCAGGTGATCCACCCGCCTCGGCCTCCCAAAGTGCTGGGATTACAGTTGTGAGCCACTGTGCCTGGCCTATTTATTTATTTATTTTGAGGCAGAGTCTTGCTCCATTGCCCAGGCTGGAGTGCAGTGGCATGGTCATAGCTCACTGCATCCTTGAGCTCCTGGGCTCAAGAAATCTT